CCCACCCCCACCCGCGAAGACTTCTCGCTGAGATCCTTTCGCAGCGGAGAGCTCCACCGTATGGCCATTGTTATCGTCATTACCACGTCGTGTATCGCGTGAAGCACGCAAAGTCGCGCATCCTCGTAATACGGCAATTCGCAAGAATCTCATTTAACCCTCGACCTCCGAAATTCGAGGCTACTGTTTGGTTATAAGGTTTGGTTTGGTGGGTGTATAAGGGTGGGCGGTTGACTGTATGGCTGTCCGGGAATGGGAAAAGTAGAATAGGCGCGAAAGGACCCGATGGAAGGAACCGAGCGAAAGCACCTGAAGGGTGAAAAGTTACGAGAGAGAGTGAAGAGGGGTCGAAGGAACGTAAAAGGAGTTTAATTTTGAATATTACGTTCAGCGATCACGAGTCGGCAAACGTCGAGTTTCACCGGTTAAAGGCAGGATTGTTCACCCGTGAAATTAGTGCATAACCTTTGCCTCCTCCCTCGCAGTGCCCACTCACGTCGCAGATTCCGCGCGCCCTCCCTGATAACCCTCCTACCTGATAATTGTAATTAGGTATCATCCTCCGAACATCGTCATAGTCACGTAATCTTATGAATAAAAAAAAATACCAGGTGAGAAAAACACATGTGCCTATAACATTAGCAGCGCTAATACATTACAAGGATACGCCATAGCCAATATACGCGTAACAGTAGCAGCAAAATAGTGCGTGTTCGCCAAGACGTAACCTTTTTTTATTATTTTTCTGATCTTTACGATCGAAAATACGTCTCGTTGCGTCGAGCATTCCCGTAGGTGCTCGCGGATGATATCCTTCCTTTTATCGGCTATAAATTTAACAGCGGATTAGCGGCAAGGTTTAATCAAACGGCTTGGCCCATTCTTGCCCATTCTCGGCAATCCTCGGCAATCCTCGGCCATCCACGAAGATGGTTGCCCATAGTTGGCCACCTTGGTGTCGGAACCCTTTCGTGTCTCAACCTAAATCGATAGATTAGCCGCGGGCTGTTTGTTGTTTACCGCAGTGCCGTGCGCCGTGCACTGCCACGCACTGCCCTAAAGTGGCCCTATGGTACCTTATAGTGACCTACGGCGTCCTATGGGTTCGCGTATGTTGCGCGACCGATACTGAAAATATACAGACGAACGAGCCAATCGGATAAGAATTGCTATGGGTACAACGGAAAGTACAGGTAAAAAATATATAGATATAAAGCAACAGTGACGTATCGTGAAATTTCTTAAGGACAACCCAAGTAATACAAGATGAGCGTGTAAAAATTCCAATGAAGCGACTTTACGTAATATACCAGTTGTAGTTTAATTAATCACGAGAACGCATATACTATATACGTTCCACTGATAACGCATAATTGAGTGAACTGCCGAGTAGCGAATGCCGTGTGTAAAAACTGCAAGGCTTTTAAAAAGCCAGGAAAATCCTTCAATAATGATAATGAGAACGCGAGGATGATAACGTAAATGAAATTTGTACGTTACGCAGTGCCGATATAAGTATTGACGTGGACTCCTTAATTAGTGTGAGCACCTGCTTACGTATATACCGGTTCTCGATTAATGTTCTGCTCAACGCTAAGAAATACGAGAGTTCCCAGAGGTCTTCGATTTCGCGAAGAATTCGAATCTCGAATTCAAGCAACGGGATACGGCTTGGTATACATATATATGTATATATTCGGCGTACTTATTATCTATTAATATACACGCGTGATGTTAATCAATAAGTAATAGATATTACTGGAAGAGGATCGTACGGCATTTATTACAGGTATATGAGTGTCTATAGGAGCAACCTATGAAAAAGGTAATATAACTCACTTGGCTTATCCAGATCAGATATCTCCTCCTGCGAGTACACTGCAGCGGCAACCCCCAACACCAACATTATTGTCGCGGCACTCCACCACATTTTGCCCTCTTTACACTTTGCGCCCTTATCTTCGCTCGTTCATAGTCACGAATTCACGATACGCTCACGACTGGCTGTACCCTCACTAATTGCTACATCGCACTATCGCGACATTCGATCCTATTGAAGGAATCGCCGAAAATAACTCTTGAGAAATTGTCCGGGTGGGGTAGGAGGGTGGTTCTTGAATCGGTCTTAAGTCAACAATGATTTCCATTCACGCCGTCACTTTAGACCCTTGGCAAATTGCTAAAGAGGGTGACGACTTATGATGTCGATTTAATTCATTAATTTTGTAGAATCGTTTATTCGTTTTTTGATAATTTTATAAAACATCAATTTTTCGTTTTTTTATATATAGATATATAGTTACTGCGAAATACGTTGGTGTGCAGTTCTTCGGGTTTGATGATAGAAAACGCAGATTAATGAATCAACGAGGGTCGCTAGGGTCAGCGAAGGGTCAGACGTAGGGTGGAAGAGGGTTGATCTTGCAAATCAGTTGATCATTTGATAGCGTAATATTTCTCTGATCGGTCGATACTGAAATTACTCGTTCCCAGGGAGACTCAACGATTTATGGTGATTACTCCTGTTTCAACGAACGTTGATTGACCTTCCGAATTGTATGGTCGACGATGAATTTATTTCAAAATAATCGGACATTGTATGGATAATTGACAATTGATCGTAACAATCGCGAGATTGGTTTTGCTATCATCGATGCTCTATGCTGCAATCTTTTTTTTTTGATTTTCCGAACAATTTATATGGATCGAATTCAATTTGCCAGGAATCATCGGACTGACTGAGTTATTAAAATTTTTATGTACCTAATACACTGGGTATGTTTTATTAGAGAGTAATTGACGGAATGATCGTTATCAATGTATTATGCTTTGGTGATGATCGATTGTATTGATCAAACATTCCCTTGGTAATCAGTTTAAAAAATTAATCTTGATTAGCAAATTTAATTTTCAGGCATTCCAACGTTAACTATCAATTTCGTTTCTCGTTTTCCTTTCAACAATATTCTTTTCACTAGTCATATATTCCTGTAACGTTACTTTGATAAGTATCTTCAGTAATTCATCCCCAGGCTGATTTGGCACTGCGTCCGTACCTTCATTAAAATCACGTGGTATAATCGTATTATTTTGGTATAAATTCTTCATATATTTTTTTTTTCGAATTATTATTTTCTCTTGTTATCAGTTAATTAGATGCATATAGCTCCACTGTGTTTCTAATCGATTTGTATTGCATTTCTCAATACAGTGGATTAATCGTGTCGATATACTTTCCATGAGCTGTAGCTTTTCTGACAATTTCAATAATACTATTGACAGTTCTAAGCACATGTAAAAGATCGCAGTCCATTATTTTTCCAAAGTTTCACGAAGCACTATGAAAACCATCGGCACTTCCTGAAATCGTTGGTGCACCGCAACACGTAATAATCCTTTCAACACTAGCTAAAAAAGAAAAAGTAACGATGTAGTTTAGTGCCAATCGATAACCCCAAGCCAGTCAGTGTCTTATAAAATCCAAAATACACACAATCCTCTTTATAGACTGTTTCGAGGATTATACCTCAGGTAACACGAGTGACCGTATGTCTGTGGCATCGCTTAATTATCTATTCCGTAATTTCTCTCATTCGTTCATAAAAAAGATTAGGAGTACAAGAATTTTTCGAACGAAGAGGAATAATAACCCAAGCGGAGCATAAGAACCACGTCGAGTCCTGACCCGAGGCGGCTCGGTACTGAATCCATTGAAATCCACGGGAGACTGTCGCGAGCCCGTTCGTACGAGCTCGGCCGGATTCGGCAGTGCTCGGGTTCCCGCTCCGAGAGATCACTATGATTTACTAGGATCTCTAATGAGTCACCGTAATCGGTACGTTGCAGCCCTTATGCAGGCATCCCTTTTAGGATTTCATAAAGGTGCTTATACCAGGACCTCATTTTACTAGATTAGGTACTCTATGAAATATCGTAGCCACGAGGACTCACGTCGTCTTTTGTTTTTTTCTTTTTAAATTATCATAACATCGGTTCATCAGGGTTACGCGGATTATCAAAACGTGTAATTGTTTAATTATATTTTACGAAGATCATTGATCATCTCGTACCACATCAGAATATAGCGACCTTTCGAATTTGATACTAGCTGATCTCTGGGTATAGGGATGTTGTCAAAGTTGTCAAGAACTGTAAAGTAAAATATAAATAATTCTAAAATAACTACGATACAGGACTTTAAGAACATAAAATATTTCATTCGATCCGATGTGAGGATATTGTAAGAATTTGTGACAAAAAAATATATTTTTAACTGTTACATTGTACATATAAATTATCAAAGAAAATAATTCTAGATTTGACCCTTAGAAACTTGTACGATATGGATATCGATCGTAGCACCGAGCTCATAGGATGCGTGCCCGAGATTACCCTAGGTGGTATAGGAGGGGTTCATGACTTGGTGAACTTTTCCGCTTCCGTGTTCCCAGGCCACGATAAATTTGGACCTTTACGAGGAGTAGAGCTTTATCGGTCCTTCCTTGCAAATCATTCGTTAATCCTCAGTCGATACGAAGAACCTTCTTTCTACTTCCTTAAAAGAACTTATCCTTAAGGATCCCCAAACTAATACCCCTACGTTCTTACGTGCGATACATGCAACGTAAAAAAAAAAAACCTATCGCCGAATCACAGATCGAATTTTCTTAGTAAACTACTTATCCTTTTGTTCCTTACAAACTTTTTTTTTCATATCGATCACCCACCAAACAAATGTCGTTTCCAATTTATCACTTATACACTAATGCATTAGATCATTAGATACTCGTTCTTCGGACCGATCGTTCTCCTTTCCATATAAAAAAAGAAGTCCCACTAGGATTTATAAGAAAAACTTTTGATTGAACTAATCCACTAGGGAACTTTGTTTACTCCATTTTCATTATCCCACAGTGTATAGTCGAGCTGCGATATCAGGTCCATTGCGAGGGGTCATCACCTTACGAACCGTAACATAAATAAGTCCTCTCAATGTAGAACTGATGACGCAACCAGACTGTAGGTAACGATGACGATATCTTGATATCATCGACAGACCATAGACGTAACCTCTAATCATTTCATACCAACGTCACTAAAGTACCAGGAGCAGCTATCGATATTCCCAAGTGATTGATGAGAATTTCAATGATGCTATTGATTTTTAATTGGTATTCCTGGAGCTTAATATTGAACATCGGTCAGCGTTACTAAATTCAGGGAAATGGCTGGTGGCGCCATCTCCCTCCTTTTTCACTTTTATCGCCATCTAACTGACTCCCGATGAGGAACTAGTGATATTTTACATGGAACACAGAAGGGCTTTCATGCACTCCTAACGCCGACGTCGACGCCGCCGAATCGGAACCCGACACCGTCATGCATCATGGTACATCATCGAACACCCAGGCTGTTAACCCGAACCACACGTTGGTTACCATGTAATAGGCTTCCCAGTGTGTTCACTAGTTGTCGGATAACACATGAAGCCTGTCAGTCGCACGATTTCCGTGTCTTGCTTCGGATGGGGTTTTTCAAATGATATTTCATATCCGATGAGGACGCCCAGCCTCGGTGAGATCGAGGGTGGGTGTCGTTAATTATGCAACTGTTGGCGATTCAATTTGATCAGTCTGCAGATGCTATTTGCGTGAATTTCATTGACCGGATTTGAAAATACGTAGCCGGTACCAGAATTGCATAGATATAAGATATATTTGAATAAGGGGCGAATTTAGGTATAGGATATATATATGGGATTGGATATACTTAAATTATTAAAAATAAAAAGGACGAATTAACGTGGCTTGGACTTAAACGTTTACCAATGGTTAATAGGGAAGAAGAGAGTGTCTGAAAAGGGTAGGAACTTTTTTGAAAAAGATTTATTGAATTGTTTACGTCTTCGGAGAACGAGATGCAGGTAATACGGAATCGCTGGCGCTATTCGGTGCTTCCGGAGAATTGCGACTTCCTGAAGGATTCGATTGCCGTACTGTTAGAGATAGGGAATTCCTGTACGAATTCTCGGTAAGGTATGCGGCACCTTGGCGTAGCCTGGTACGAGTGAAGAAAATGTGGACGAGGAGTTGGGAGGGAATAAGAGAGGAGAAGGAGGTAGAAGGTAAGAAGTGGAGATTAAAGAAGTAGAATAAAAAAGAGAAAGAGCAGAGAAAGGAGACTGTGGAGAATTAGTAGGAAGGCCAAATGAACCTTCCAGTGCAGGACCACCCGAACGACTAGAGATTCAAAAGTCGATTCGTTTTAGTTAAAACGGCGAAGGCAGGAGAAGCGGAGTCGTAAAGAGGAACAGAAGAGGAGAGGAAGATGAAGAAAAAAAAAAAAAAAAAGTAAAAGGTCGATCACAGTTAGCACATTAGCAGTCGACGGGCACCTCCCAAGTCGAGCCGCCATTCTGATACGTATCTTCAAGTATTCTTGCGAAATATTTAAATCCAACATGGTCGTACAAGAAGAGGAACGAAAACAGACAGCAGCAGTGCCAACGTATGAGATCACAAGACGATGACAGTGCTGGATAAAAACGTGTCCCAGTGACAATGGAGACAGAGTATAAAATTGCGTCGTGCGACGAATCTCTTTACGCCAGTCATGGGAACCAATTGTGCAAAATGCAAAAAAAAAATACGGAAATTATACATTCAGACACACTCGTTACGTACAGTATTTCTGTCATCTGCACTATAAATTATTTTTAGTTAATCATAAAAAAACAGGATTCGAAATTCTGAATCTGTTAACTTGAACGTTGGTCCAGCTCAGCATGTATACTTTTGACTTAATATATTGCAGCTTATGATACACACTACAATCAAAGATGCACTACTCACTCAATATATTCTAAATTACTTGCTCAAAGAAGCTTATCAACCAGTTAACTGGCAATGACGCATATATGCGCCAATTGACTAACTCCGATAAATTTCAATGAATTTTTATGAAACTTGGTATGCCCAAGTTTTTTGGGTCGCTGATTACGAATATGAACTAAAAGTTAGGAAATCCATAGCGACGAGTTCAGACTCGTAATCAGCGACCTAAAAAAATCCAATAGACGATCTTTCATGTGAAACACGGAATTATTCGCTCCTAACAGTTTTGGCACAAAACGTTGATTTCGGGTCCACCACTTAACTGATTAATAATCTATAATAACAGTGTTGCCCAAAATACCAAGAATGCCAGGTAGATTTGGTAAACTGGGAGGTTGGTGTCTGGCTGGCTGGTGGTACAGGAGCTCAAGGCTCATAGCTGAGAGAAGTTAAACCACTTAACGGATAGATATTTTCAGAGTGTATCGAAGGGTGCTAAATATTTTCAAGAATAAACGAACACACGAAGAAGTGTGATTTCTATAACGCAACGTGATACCCTATAATCTCTGTCGGTAAGGACTATATCATTAACCATTCAAATTCCCGTAGACTTTGTCAATTATTTTTACCAGTATACAAAATTTTAACCTACGCTCTACGACCAATCGAATCACCGTTGAATCATCCCCTCTCATCAACGTTCTAACAAGTTCACCCCTAACGTACGCTGTCGTGTACAATTTTTACTCGGAAAGGACATTCTAATACGAATAGCCCGATGACCGTATAAGGTGACTGGTTTATATTTAACGGGCCATACTTTATCATAATTCCTCAGATGAAGTATATAATTAAGGGGTTGGCACCTGAGGTCGCCATGTTTTCAAAGAAAGGGAATGGAGGAGTGTGCTAAGGCCGAGGGACTACCATATAATTGTACACGTTGACAGTAGAGTCGTTGAAGTTGGTAAAAGTTTGAACACCTTGTATATGATATCGGTATCCTTCCCCTCTGCCCCCCCCCCAGCCGTCCTTGACCCTTAATCTATAGACCACCTTCATTATCCGGGTATCTCAACGAAACAGGCAAATTGTAAAACGTGAGGTAGATTACGCGCAATAACGGGTGGCTTAATAATAAATTATTATCGACAGCCAATGTTAAACACTACTGTCCAACATATATATGGCAGTCTCGCCGCTGCTAACGGCAGTTCAATTTTACCATGGCCTTTTCGGCCTTGCATAAAATACACACAACACAAATAGCGTAACGGCAATGGGGTTTTAACATGGCTGTGATTCCCGTGTGTGCATGCAAACACCATTGCCCAACCTGGAATGACAATCAACTCGCATGCGATATTCTACCGCCATTCTGACTATACACTGCGACCCTCCAACCACCCCTCGCCCAAAAAGAACGATACGTCACAGTTCTACGTACGTTATTAATTCCTATTGGCTGTAAGCGCTATAAAATATTGGACTACGGTACATTTCTAGATTGAATCGTAGATATTAACTGAAAATTCATTTAAATGCTGGGCAAATTTGTTATCGGTGGGTGGAGGGGGGTGGTGGGGGG